CATCTTATTCATTAGGTATCACCATTTTTCGTCAAACTTCAATGACGACAAAAGTTTCACCTACAAATGACATTCCAGTAGCTATATAACTGATGGGGGCATATTTAAGCTCGAAACATGCATTGACCTGTTTTTGAGAATACGTTCGAGGAGATAACATAGTTTTTTCATCTTTAACAAAAAAATATTTTTTATATGTTTACAAAATGGGCTACAACGAATTTTATCATCAACAAGCTGTTATATCGCTAGAAACGGCAACCCTCCAAAGTTTTCAGGACGTTCACTGACGATTCTCTCATTCATAAATTAACAAAATCAGAATATAACGAAAATTCAATACAAGCTAATAATGATAATTCAAAAAAACCTTTATACATATATTTAACGATGGAGGAAAAAGTGAGTATATCGAAAATATTGGAATATTTCAACATATTCTAAAGTTCTTGAATGACTGATGATCAATCAAGAAACATTGTCAAATCAGGGAAAAAACAGGGTCGCTTTCATTTTGTATAGAAATTTTATTTTGTGTATCTTTGGAAATGTGTGAGTTGCATATAAAATCAGCTAAAAGCAAAATCTACGGTTTGGTGTGCTCAAGAGTTCATCGTTAGGGCCCTTAACATACAGTAGCTGAATCAAGGCTTTCATATATGCCACTGCAGAATGAATTTCCTCAGATGATATATCATAAAATCAATCATGAACACAAAACTATGAATTGATCTTAGATTTTTGAATTAACGGAAAAAAACGGTTTTTTTTTAATATTAACTACGAGCTACGGCAATAAAATCCAACATCATGTTGATTTGATAGACAGAAATCGGGTATCTACAAAATCTTCGCTACGATTTTTGTCGTGCGACGAAATTGATCGCAGAAGATGGTTTAAAAAATGAGCTACGCAATATAGTGCTGCAAATTCTCATTCAGAGTCACTGTTGTCAATACTTTTGCAGCAGCCCTCGTACCTCGTAGGATTTTTTAACAAGTTCAAAAAGAATGTTGTGCTGACATTGCCATCAGACTTATATAAATATTCTAGGAAACCATTTATAATTCACCAGGTTATCATACAGGTTTATATATGTTTATGGATTTTCCCACAATCGATGAAGTAAACACTGCCTTCCTGATCAGATATACTCAAGAAAACGACAGAAAATCACACAAATAATCAAATAAGTGGTTTCATGAAAGTATTTACTATTTTTTGTGTATTTCATTGAATTGTGGATGTTGAAATTGTCCGACTGATACTATCAATATAATTTGATTATTTTTGGGGTTGGTATATAATGGTTGGTACTTCAAAACGATTCCCATTTCCAATTTTTGTTCGTCCTACGTATAATCATCAAACAGGGACTTACGAACTTTGACAATTGATGACAAAGGCCATCTTGTTGAAGCTACATCTGTCAAATTAATTGTCATGTGTTTAGTCTGTTTTGCCAAATCACCATGGACTGATATAATATTCAACAACACGTGAAAATGATAACATTGTCTTATTTATTTATTTATTCAATACATCCAGCAGGCCAAAAAGCCCATTTACAGGTGTATACAATTAGAAATATGATAATTATACATATAGTAAGATCAATTTTGAATGAAACGAAGAATCTCTTTTTTGAATTGTTTGAACGTTAGAAAAAATATATCTACACTAGGAACATTATTAACACTTCTAGATATAGTAGTTATGGGAGAATTAAAATGATGCAGTGTATTGGAAACCGGAATATGAAATGTGCCACAGAATCTAAATGAAATACACGGTACACTGAATAGCATTTGAGATAATAGAGGCGAGCAATCCATTTGTCCATGTATTATTTTATATGCAAAACACATATCTTGGCTTTGCCTGCATTTATTTAAATTTGAGTCCACTGGTTCAGTAAACGATAGACCAACACCCGTTCGTCGACGAAATGCAAGATCTGCCGAAAACATCGCCGCTCTCTGAGAGAGTGTGCAGGAAAATCCGAGGCAGTCGATTTCGCGTCGTTCACAAGAACTCAGCCTTCCGCATACCATAACTTGGCGAATTTTGCGTCGTGACTTAGGCCTGCACTCGTACAAAATTAACTGACCCAGGAACTGAAGGTAAATGACCATAGACAACGACGTATGTTGGCTGAATGGGCTCTGGAGCAGTTGCCAACATACCCTAATTTTCATCGAAAAATCAGCGATAGAGCACATTTTTGGATGAGTTGCTAAGCGAACAAACAAAATTGTCGAATTTGGGATGATACCAATTCACATGAGATCCAAGATTGTCCAATGATTGCCGAAGAGTCAGTGTTTGGTGTGGATTTTGGGCTGACGGCGTCATAGATCCCTATTTCTTCAAGAACGACGTTGGCCAGGCCATCACTGTCAACGGCGAGCACTATAAGTCAATGATTACCAACTTCTTCTGGTCTGAATTGGATGATCTGGAAACCAACGACATATGGTTCCAACAGGACGGCGCTACGTGCTACACAGCTCATGCCACATTGGATATTTTGCACATGGAGATGATGTGAACTGGCCACCGAGATCGTACGATTTGACCCCGTTAGACTTTTTCTTGTGAGGTTTTCTTGAGTCACAGGTGTATGTGAATGAGCCAAAAACACAGCGGTTCTCAAAGCCAACATATCCCATACCATCGATCGAATTCAGCCTGGTTTATGCGCCAGAGTTATAGAAAATTGGACGTTTTGGATGCGCCATTCAGAGAAGCCGTGGCGGACATTTGAACCATGTTATATTCTACACTTAATGACATCAATATGTCTTTCAAACGAATGAAAAATTTCGTTGATATTTATTCAATTTCAAAGATAGGTAGCGCCTAACGAAAGGCCCTGTATTACTCATCGAAATTTTCTACTTCAGGATCATATTGTGAGAACTTCTTCAAAACAATTTTTTTTTATATTATAGAATGTTTTCTCATTGCAGTGAAAAAAATGCAAAGGTGTGTTCTATGCAAAAAGGTGTGTTCTATGCAATGGTGTGTTCTATGAAATAAAGGTATATTAAATGGAAAAAGTGTTTTCTATGATTCATTTCCAAGATTCAAGGTGTTGAGTTCATTTTGATTTCTATCGTCCTCAATACGATTCTTACTGAAAACTGATTCTATATATCAACCAGTATGCCGATGGAAAACCAAAATTTTTCATGACCAATTTGTCTACCAACACTTCAAAGTTGGAAGTCATATTTTCAAATTGAAATAAATGGGAAAAACGCCCACAATATATTTGTTGGGTTGAGATGAAAGGGTAAAATTTAAAAATGAACGATAATGGAGCCCTCTATCAAGATGAAATGTTCTTTAATAATCGAATTTTTTACAATCATGAATCACGATAATAACCTTATTTACAAATAAAACCACTATTGAAAACTTTGCAAGTGTTTTCGTTAAATTTTACGAAATTGTACACTTCTGTCACAAAATATAAGTCATTACCATATAACACATAATCTACAACCACTGTCCAATTATTAAATCCATCAGGGATTATTAAAAAAAAACTCACCATTTTTCAAAGGAGACCTTCATGGAAACAGATCCGGTTCGAATCAAAGATATACTTTTACTGTTAAGCGATTGGAAATGATTATATTCTTCAACAACCGATAAGCTCAAAATATATATATAGGCATATGTAGCTGCGAAAATGCCAAACAGGAAATGCTCTTATCAGAGTCCACTTTCCTGTTAAACCACTTTTTATGTTCAGTTGAATTATTCATTCAACGTTATAGCATATGAAGTTATAAAAAGTCAACAGAGGTCAATTATCTGAAAACATTTTTCCATATAATGTGGATGCCCCCTTTACTTCATTATTCAGATATAATTACTATTTTCACCATCTATGTTATTCAGAATTCCTGAAATATCCCTTTTCTCATCCCAAAAACTTATCAAAAGCTTTAGAAATTCATTTTTTAGGCCGTCGTTAGTTTTTGTCCTCTGGCGAATCTCTGGCAAAATTGAGAGGGTTATATTTACAATTTAAACAAGATTCCTTTGACTAGGATTTAATCAAATGAGCGAATGAATGTAATTACGATGCCATCGATGACATGAATAGATCAAATTCATTCCGTGCATTAAGTCGTAATTTATGAACGAATTGTGTGTTTTTTCTTATAATGTTATCCAGGTTTGTACTGAAGAGCCCTAAGGCAAGTGTCTTATGACGAAACATCGATGTCTACCAGTGAGGATGACAGTGTTCTATGTAAGTGAAATGTTTACCTTTCATTTAGTTCAATGCATAGAAATCCTATGAATTATATCTGATTCAATTCCATAACGAATGTTTTTTGTAAAACTGTTTGTATAAGTGTTTTTTGTATAACTCAGTGTTCATATAAAATTATTCGTTTCGAAAGAATTTTTCTTTCGTCTAACTCAATTTCAAGGCAACATTCCAATAATAATGATACATAAACAAGTGAGAATCTTGAAGGATCGATAAAATGACCAGCACGATCCCCTGATCTGACGTCATTGGACTTTTCCTTATGGGGATTTGTCGAAAGTATTGTTCAGGAAACTAAACCGCTCAGCTCAGCTGACTTGAGACGAATAAGAACTGCGAATAGATCGGTTACCCTTAAGATGTTGAGTAATATCAGAAAAAAATTCTGTTTAATGATTTAATGTTGCCAAAACGTTTGTAGCAAGCTTTTTCAACATCTCCTCCACTTACCCTCCACTTACTATTATGTTTTTTCATTTACATTTCGAAGAAAACCGGAATATTACTAATTAGTTATTGAGTGTAGCGTAGTTTTGTAATCAAATAAATTTTTCCATTGTTAGTTTACACTTTAAACAATTGCAACACGCGTTTCCCTATAGAATAGCTGCCTCAGACGTGTTGATACAGTATTAACTGAAAATCCCACAATAACGTGTATTTCACGCCACCCAAATTGTTCAGAAAAATCTCTTCAACTCTTACCTTGACATAGTATTGCTAGTTCCAGAGTTCAATCCAACAACACCCGTGTAACTTATGTGGGAGGTGAGCTGGGTCAGATGGGACCCTTCTATTGTAGCGTGGTGGTCATCGGTTGTTTGTATTGTACTGTGTAGATTGTATGCTCTCGTTGGTGTTCCAGGACTGGGTGTGCCGCTTCCGTGAGGTGAACCATTGGTCATCGTTGTCGGAACAAGCTGGAGGTATTCCGTTCCATTCGCTTCTTCAAGAGGGACCTGAAAAACGGATCAGATCCTTTATTGGTCCTTGAACATATAGGTTGAGGTATGATCCTACCGACTGCGCCATATTATTTCATCAACTTCAGATGACTTTTAAAAAGTTCTTAATTATTGTTATCATGAATACAACTCAACTGTGATTCAGAATGATCTATAACAGATCAAAGTATCTGTGAAGATTGTTCATAGAGAATGTGTATGAAAAAGTATACTGTGGGTAATGTTTTTTCAAAAATGTAAACTAAGATACACGAGTAAGATACAAGATACTAAGATACAAGAGCGACATCGAAACTGGTGAAAAACCAAAGGGACTGATGGACAAAGATTAAAATGATTTTATGTAACTCGGGAATCGTAGGCAACAAAAAGTGCCGGATATGGAATATCAATCTGCCAATATTGATGATATGATTCTATATCAGTAAATGAGTCAATAAGAAACATTTCTGGGAAAACGTAGCCAGGAACATTTTCAAAAAAATCTTGATGAAGGAAACCTCTGATAAAAAAAACTGATTTCATAGAACAGGGGTCTGCTCAGGGTAATTACATGGCTGAACATTATCCATTCGAAGGACACCTGAATAAAATAGGGCTGTATAATAGAGACCTTAGTTGCAGACAATGGAAAAAAAGGATAAAGACTGCTAGCCAAGTTTTACGCGAGTGAAAGATATTAAATCACAAAAGGCCATCATTTAATCGAGAATCCAAAATTTGCCATGAAAAATTATGACCTCTACAAAATGATACTGATGACAAGATTTTTATGACACGTAGAGATACAATGAGCCTTTAGGGTTGTACTAGAGACTTGAGAAATTTACTTGTCAATTAAAATATATATATTTGAAATAAATTTTTCCATTAACAGCATTAACAGATCCTTATGATTGATTAGCAGTTTTATATTATTTTTAAGAAACTGCAAACAAACGTTTAGTACCATAATATCTATATTTTCAATCTCACTCTATTCATCCCAATGAATGTTCAAAATGTTAACCATCAATAACAATAATAGGGTCTGCTTACAAATATATTTCTTATATTATAGAATGTTACTGAAATTGCAATTTTATGCAAGAATTCTGGAATGGGCTTCGATACTTTAGGTGTCACGACTATTCACAAAAAAAGTATCATATCAGGTGATTTAGTGGGCCATTCTAAAGGATCACTTCTTCCTACCCTATTGAATCACCCGTTGTAATCAGTTGGTCCTTTGGAATGGCCTGCTAGATTACCTGATATGAGATGGTGCGTTTAGATTTTTTGAAAGGTTACGTGAAATCTGAAAGACACGTTACAAACTGCAGTTCACTCCAGAACTTGTAGATAGATTAACGAAATTGTCCTGGAAACATTTTATAATGTGAGAAATGAATCTGCAAATAGACTTCATCATTATCAGGAAGTGATGCCACACTATTACTTTCCTTATTGGAAACTACTAAAAATTATCATTTTTGACGTAAACTTTATCCGACCTCTTGATATAATATCCTGTTAAAAGTTGAATATTATTTGAGTTTTTTCCCAACACCATACCGTTATTTGAACATCTCGACACGCGTTTCGATCACCAAATGATCATCTTCAGTTTGATCTTTCTCTTGAAGATGATCACTTGGTGATCGAAACACGTGTCGAGGTGTTAAAATAATGGTTTGGTGTTGGTAAAAAATCTTCAATAATATTCATTACTACACCAAAAGTTGATAAAGAGTCCACCGTATGAAATAGATAATATGATGAATAAAAATGTATGTTGTACTATGTTGATGAGCTATACTTAATAGTTTCATTAAGATAAAGAAAGATAAAGATAAGATAAAGAAAATTATCACGAAATCTAAAAATCACAATTTGAAATAGAGTTGATTTGACGAAAAGCTTCTCCAGCTTCTCCATCTATGTACAAAGAAATGTGGGAATGAATTGATTGATGTAGCCGTTACTTTGTGGTTGGAGACCATCATGGAAAATGAAAAATAAACATGATGAAAGTGGTAAAGTTTCATTTCTCATTTTTCAAAATGAGAGAATCTTTCCCAAAAAATTTATCTATCCTCAACATATACCCCTTTCAATTCAAGTTTCATCTTAAATGAACCAAATGATTTTCAAAATGACCACCTTAATAAAATAAATGCCATATTAGCCTCGTAGTCAACTGAATATATTGAAAATGATATTTTTTTCTGAAATAATCTATTTAATTTTTCATATATCCGATTTCAAATATATCATTGTAGTTACTAATTTTTGTTGATTTCAACCACATTTCCAAAATCCACTCACTTGTAAGGGACAAGTAAACACCTCGAATCACAAAATTCACTGTATTGGATTGTGTCTGACTGAACAAGCATATCTGTAAACACGAAGAAAGCTTATCCAGTTTTTTATCTCTGTAACGGTGACCTTTAGATATGATGATGAATCATGATTGGAGATAGCTGTGTATGTTGTTTGTACTTTTGATTCTGATTTGTTTTCAATATCTTTCATCTGTATGTATAGAAATGGTACATGCATCAGAAGCACAAAATAGTTCAATTGAATTTTTCGTCAAGGAAATGGCTACAGTTTACATATCAACAAATATATCTGTAACAATATCATCATTAGTGAATATTAAAAAAAAGACAAAGTACGAGATAGAAGATTCCAAAATTTTTACTAGCTGGTTTTTACAAACGAACCGTTATGTTTTGAATTGGCCCCGAAAATTGATCGCTTAATTCAGGCCTAGCTAAATGAATTTCCAGTTTTTCTTCAAATGACTAGCTCTTGGCTCATTTGCACATTCTCAAATCTTTCTCTGAGAGCTCTGAAAAAAGTGTATAAAAAATAATTTTGTACCAACTTATCATGCAATATCATCACGAATAAGTTTCACCATATGAATTTATAATTGTCGACATAAACCGAAAACAATAAAAAATGTGAATACTCATTGGAATACAAACTGAATAGAGAAGAGTGTTTGTATAATTCAATGTTCATATTATAAAAGTAGCTGTTTCAGGAGGGTTTTTTCTTCCAGTTTTTATCGGAAACTTACTTCTTTGCACATCTGTGTAAAGAGTTTATTTCACTTCCTTCCTTTCTTTACAAAATACCAATATTTTTTTGTATGAAGATGGTGAAGTAAAACGCCAAAACCTTTCTTTCCCAAGATTATTGAAGTGATGTAAACTAATATTCTGGCTTATATTGAAGTACCTAAAACCAACTGGTCACAAACTACGTAGGAAAGGCTCCTCCAGATAATCCAAGAATAATTAGAATGACATATCTTACTATAATCTATGATGACAAAATAATTGAAATAAATTGATCGATTAGGTGGCCACTGAGATCGCCGGATCTGATTCCACTAAATATTTTTGAGATCACATCAAAGGTGAGATTTATGTGACAGCACCTCCTACTATCAGAGGAATTATGAAAGTGGTAGATACCGAAAGTTTTTGATGAAGATGTAGTTTGAAAGTATTTCGTTGAAGTGGCATGATTATTTTTATTTGATGCGAAGTATTATAAAAACAATTTTCGAGCACTCCTCTTTACTAACTTCGTATAAATTATTGGAAATAACCTGTCACTACATGGTATAAAACGATATTTTCGGCTGCTGCATCTGTCTGTTTGTCTGTCTGAATGAGATAGGTAAACTCAAAAAGTACCTAACGAATTTTCATTCAGTTTCCACCAATGGATGAGGTGATTCAAGAGGAAGGTTTTTTTTAAATATTTATTTATTCGTCTACATCAATGTTGTCGACTTCAAAATGGTCCTTATTAAATATTATGCATAATATTATGCTAATCTTCGAAACACCTCTCAAACTTGATCTTTGGGATAACCTTCAGCAATGCGCCTTCAATGTCATTTTTGCTTTCAAAACGACGGCCTTTCAAGGTTCTCGATATTTGTGGCAATAGGAGAAAGTCACATCGAGCCATGTCTGACGAATATAGAGGCTGGAACATCGAAAAGAAGCGGGTGGGTTAGTACCGTCCTGTGCTTTTCATCTCAGTATCAGTATTACATGTGGCGAAGGATATTGAGTTATCCACATTGATAAAACTTGAACCTCCGCCAAAAACAATTGTTTCGGAGATTAATATTGCATAACATTAAAGAGGGGTAAATTAAACTTGAAATATGCCATGGAAATAGTATGCGTCTTAATATTTTTATAAGGTATAACTAATGATAAATAATCAATAGGTAAAAATGGAGTTTAAACTAAATAACAAAATACACAACATAATACATAAAAAAAGAAAATGTATAAAAGACTTAGTGAAGAAACTTAGTAATTGAGTGTTAAGTAAGACATTGAATGAAAATAAAATAAATTGAGGTTTTTCTGAAAAAGTAAAGCAAAAAAACCAGAGGTGATCGGACCATTTGGAATTGACTCCATAAACTATGAGATGGTTGATTTGAACATATTTGAGGAAAGCTAAACCAGAAAATCGTTAGAAACAAACATAATGGAGTTGAAAAACTTAAAGAATATATATATAGTAAAATGAACATGCATGCAAATGAACAAGCAATGTAGAGTAGCGCAAAAGCAAAGACTTTTTCTTATTTGCCTTCTGCAAAAAGAAGAACACTTAGAAAGTTGCTTTATTACTGAGGTCGAATGGGTTAACTACCAACAAAGCTGTTTCAATTGTCATCTTAGAACGGTATTCATGAATGTAAAACAATCATAAAATATCCCAGTAAGAGACACAAGAGTTTTGAATTTGCCCAAGAGTAAAATTTTTTATTTCTTAGAAATAGTTATTTGAAATTATACTTTAATGTAATCACACCTTCCTGTGATAAACATATTTTCAGCATTTTTTCAAGCCTAATTTCCAATTCAAAATTTTGCGGTTGATCTGCTCTAGAATGACGATTAATTCAATGATTATTTTATTTATGTATCAAGGAAGTGCTTGAAAGTGAATCCCAGCATTTTATAATTGATTCCATATTCAAATACTGAGTCTTATTTACAAACTACCAAGTATTTCCTGTTATTAAAAAATGCTAATTGCCAATAATCCCTTCAATTATTGAACTGTATGGTATGCTGCAGAACCAGAAATGCATTCTCATTTTTCAAATCAAAACACACCTGCCACACATCACCAATCAAAAGCAAATACTCCATTGAAATTGTAACTACATGTAGTTCCCAGGCCAAAGCAATGAAAATGACCGATCCCCACCTATTATATCTCAAACCCATCATTATCTCCTATTCCTCTTACCTCTTCCAATGTGAAGCTCTGCATATACCTTCCATCTGCTCTAACCAGGGTCTGGTAATTGTCCTGATCCACATCGGTGGTGTACGTAAGGCATTCGAGAGGCGTAGCCGCTCGTGAGTGGGGAGAGGGCACCGCCCCTTCGCTCTGCGAGGCGGGGCTGTACTGTTGGTGAGGTTCGTCGCCGTATGCACCTGAAATACATGAGGAGGTATTGGTGGTCGTCTAACTCGCAGTAGTATGTGTGTATACACAGAACAAAAAAATCTGGGTTTTAGTTCTGTGGAATAGCAAGCGTTTGAGTGTATATCTGATTGATTGATTACCTATTATAATATGCAGAGCCGGATTTGGAAGTCTGGAAGCCCTGGGCAATGAAGAAGTGGATGCTCCTAATAACTAATTATTTTCCAAATAATTTTTTTTCTGTCACGTTTTCCAAAAATTTATTGTCAACGAATTAATATGTATGCATCATCTTACTGTTTAAAACTTTCTGTAGGTCAAATTTTTCAATCATGTTATCAAGAATTTTAAAAAAGGGCAAATTTGGAACAATTAAGGCTACAGAAATGTTCACCTTCAAACAAATGTTGAAATGTTTACTATTTGGTATTATTGCAAGGTATCTATTCATAATATCTGCGTAAAAAATTACACACTCCACCGAACTAATAGGAGGATCTAATTTTTTTCCGGCTGAAATTAATACGTGTGAAAATCTGGTAGGTATAGGTAATTCGACTAACAGCCAGTAATGCAACAACAAAGAGTCATTGCTTTTCAAAAATCAAAATGCTCATCAGATGTTTCACTAATACACACAAGAACTTTTGAAGAACTTCACAAATAGTTTCACGGAAAAACTTTTGAATAAATGTGTAATAAATCAGATGTGGAGAGTTCTGTAGAAGGTTCGTTGAACAGATAGAAGTTCTTACGTACGCTTTGCATATGTTTATTAATTTTTGAATAAAAATGAAAAGCGGAGATGTGAGTTAATCGGACCGAGAAGACAGACACAACTTATTTGTCTGTGAAAAAACTGCTAAAATCCGTTGCAATCACGCTCTAACACAACTCCATATATTCGGTGGACATATATTATAGTGGTTCAAACGGTGTGCAAGATTAAACTGAATGAAGTCAAAAATTGATTTGTTAACTCGGTGCAAACATATTTGCACCAAGTTAACTGAAGAAACAAACACTGGATAAAAACAAGCTATTTACAACTAAAACATTCGCAAGTGTGTGAGAGAGAAAGCACGAATCATCCATCCAGTATAAACAACTTCAAATTCGCCATAAATAATTTTACAAGGAATTTTCACGTGACGTCAGACGCTAACTATCAACAAACTTGAATTATTGAAATCAAGTTCAAATGTCAGTCTTTCCGAGTGTACGAATCTTTCTCTTGCGAGACATTAATGAAATCTTCCAGCAAAGATATCACCGACTTTGATAGGATATCTCAACTTCCTTCGAACACGGTGTCGAAAAATAGCCGAAATGTTTTTGATAAATCAAATGTTTTTCTCGCCTTTAGAAACCTTTTAATCATTAAGTATTCGCTTTTAAATTATTATGTATAGTTAGGGTAGGTCATTGCAAGATTAAGGTATCACAATGATATTGACTATCGTAAGAATAATGAGGTTGATTGCAAACCAGTGGCAGCGAATGTTCAAACAGGAGCTGCCTGCAAGGAAGGTCAGGAACAACGAGTTTTAGAAAATTGTTCAGTTTTTGGAACCTTTCAAAATCCTCGATATTTCAGATGATTCACAAACCCAGAACGGAAGTGTACCAACTTCATTTTTTTCTGAAATGCGTAACTACAGGGTGTTAATTAAGTATGTACCATAAATTTAACAGAAGATTCTTTACGTAATTTTAAGACGAAATGTTCATAAAAACATGGGTCCGTAAATCATTCGTTATCAAGATACAGGGTGTTAAAATTAAAATAAAAAAAAAGTTATTCGTAAATTTCTTATTAAATATCCTCTACCTAATTTTGCTGTAATTTGGCAATGGTATTCATAACATTAAAGAGCTAATTTAGTCCGAACGTGATTCAATTTATTGAGCAGTGGCGTCTCGAGCGGGATTTGAACGAATATTTTTGACTAAAAAATGTACGCCACTGACTTTTGTGCAATTTTTATTATTTTTTTGGATTAAGCAACTAGAAATACAACTTTTTTGTCTCTTGAATCTTGCTTAGTTTATAAGAAAAAAACTGGACCTCACAAGGAATAATGGGAAATTATGTTTCTTTTCTAAATTAATTGTTGGAAATGGTCTCCTTCGGCTTCAATACAACCGTCTAGCCGCCGCATCATTGAATTTCGCACTCTTCTGAAAATACCATTAATAATAATCAAGGGTTGCCTTGGAAAACGATTGCAGCATTCAATAAACAACTTGACAGTTGTTGTCAACTTTATTAGCTTTTAATTTATAATTGTTATAAAAAGTGTGTTTAGTGGTTATTTTTCGAACCATTTTTGGAAAACATTTCTGTTATAGAATGGCTCACGGAAACTCAAATGCTGCAAGACGCATTTACCATGAAAGATTTCCTCCGCGTGTAAAAGATCGACGGTTGTCATTGCGAGGCCTGCAGAGGTACGAACAGTTACAATTGAAAAAGCTGTTTTACATGAGATTGAAGTAAATTCTCATACCAGTACTCGGAAAATAGCTGAAGAACTGAATATTACCCATATCACAGTGTGGCAGATTTTAAGAGCCCAGCAGCTATATCCCTATCACATGCAACGTGTGCAAGCTCTATTGCCCAGAGATTTGCCTGTGAGACTAGCTTCTTCTAATTGGTTACGCGATAAAATAAGAAGAAATCCAGGTTTCCTAAGTCGAATATTGTTTACAGATGAAGCTTGTTTTTCTCGCAATTCAATTATTAACTTCCACAACAATCACATTTGGGCCGAAAACAATCCACACGCCTTGATAGAAAATAATTTTCAAGAACAGTTTTCTTTTAATATTTGTGTCGGAATTGTCGGTGACCATCTCATTGGGCCTCACTTCCTTCCACCTAGACTTAATGGAGAAGAATACCGAAGGTTTTTGAAATTTGTTTTACATGGACTTTTAGAAGAAATTCCAGTCATGGAATGATTCCTTATGTGGTACATGCACGATGGTGCTCCACCACACTTTAGTGTAGTGGCACGGCAATTTTTTTTATGAAAATTTCCATAATCGCTGGATTGGGAGAGCAGACCCACACCCATGGCCACCTCGCCCGCCCGAAATGAATCCCTTAGATTATTTTCTCTGGGGACACCTTAAAGCGTTGGTATACAAAACTGCTATTCAAAGTGAAGAGGATTTACGGAATAAAAACATTAATTCATGTGACGTAATAAAAAATATGACAGGTATTTTCAGAAGAGTGCGAAATTCAATGATGCGCGGCTAGACGGTTGTATTGAAGCCGAAGGAGGCCATTTCCAACACTTAATTTAGTGTAATTCGTTAGTCTAGATGTTAATGTTATTTAATATTTGTTGTTATTGTTACATAATTAGTATTGAAAAATTGTAAAAATAATAATTTCCAAAAGAAACGTTTAATTTCCCATATTATTCCTTGTGAGGTCCAGGGATATGCAATTAGGTCGACTTTTTTTCTTAAAAACTAAGCAAGGTACGACAAATATTCAAAAGACAAAAAAGTTGTATTTCTAATTGCTTGGTCCACAGAAATGATGAAAATTGCACAAAAGTCAGTGGCGTACAATTTTAAGTCAAAAATATTCGTTCAAATCCCGTTCGAGATGCCACTGGACTTGATAAATTGAATCACGTTCGGACTAAATTAGCTCCTTAATTTTATAAATACCATTACCAAATAACAACAAAATTAGGTAAAGGATATTTAAGATATTTATGAATAACTTTTTTTTAATTTTAATTTTAACAACCTGTATCTTGAGAACGAAGGATTTGCGGACCCATGTTTATATGAACATTTCGTCTTAAAATTACCTAAAGAATCGTTTGTTAAATTTATGGTACATACTTAATTGACACCCTGTATAGACACATGGCATGGGTTATGTTGGCTTTGAGGACCGCTATAGTTTGTGGCGCATTCGCATACACTTGCGACTTAAGAAAACTCCACAAAAAAAGTCTAACGGAGTCAAATCGCACGACCTCGGTGGCCAGTTCATATCACATCCACGTGTGATGACCAAATTGCTCTTGCAGAATATCCAATGTGGCATTAGTTGTGTTGCACGTAGCGCCTGTTGAAACCACATGTCGTTGGTGTCCAGGTCATATAACCCATTTCAAAAAATCATTAAAAATCTGTATTAAAAAAAACATACTATTCATTAGATCAGTTTTTCATAAACCAGTAATAGAATAAGATATACGGTACTTTACTTGCATATATAGGGTTTAGACGAGGCCACATCGTTTTTTGCTGTTATTGTTATTAACTATTAGTTGTGCTGTTGTTCTGAGATATTGTGTTTGTTTGTGATCTACACTAAGACTGACTATTCCTTTACAATGTAAATTGTCAATGAGGAAAATGAACGAAAAAAAAATCCAATTCAGGCCAAACAAAGTTGGTAATCATCGACTTATAGTGCTTGCCGTTGACAGTGATGGCCTGGCCAACGTCATTCTTAAAGAAATATGGATCTATGACGCCGTCAGCCGAAATCCACACCAAACAGTGACTTTTTCGGGATGCATTGGACGCTCTTGGATCTCATGTGGATTGGTGCCGTCCCAAATTCGACAATTTTGTTTGTCCACATGCCCATTCATCCAGAAATGAGCCTCATCGCTGAAGATGATATATCGATGAAAATTAGGGTCAGTTGCCAACTGCTCCAGAGCCCATTCAGTGAACATACGTTACATACATTTAGGCCCAACTCACGACGCAAAATTCACCATGTTATGGTCTACGAAAGGCCGAGTTCTTGTGAGCGACGCGAAATCGATTGTTCCGGATTCTCCTGCACACTTTCACAGGCAGCGGAGATGTTTTCGGCAGATCTTGCGTTTCGTCGAAGTACAGGTGTTGGTTGATCTTTTACTGAATCCTTATACTCGAATTTATCCATCACATCGCGAATAGTCCTCTAGGTAGGACGAGAGGTCTACTTGCGGACTAATGTTAACATGAACATCCC